TGAGATTTATGGAGAATACATAGAAGAGGGGTTTAGGAATAAAAGGCTCGACTTAAGGAGGATTCATGTCACAAATGCAATGATGGCTGCCCAGCTCAGAGCCTGACAGGATCACCTCCTATTGTCCAGGTTTAAACTGCAATTCAAAGAAACAAATGACTTTGTACGTGTGGAAGCACAGTTGGGAATGTTTTCTTTTAACGCAAAATGTTATCTTTTTATTAATTATGTGAAGGAAACACTAACGCCACAAAAGTTGGCCGAGTATTCTTCACTGGTCCAGACGAAATCTGGGACTGGATCTCATCAGGATTCACTGTCACAGACATGTTTTTGCCATGTGATCACCCTCATTTCATGCATGTCAGGCGTCTTCAGGGTTGTGGTAAATGAATAATGAGGGTTTGAGAGGATAGATGAGCAGAGGAGAGGTGGCTATCAGCGCCAGCTCGACCCAATGGAGGGTGAAATCGGCGTTTATCACATATTGCTGCCCACTGTGCCAGCAGATGCTCCTAACGGATCCATTCCCATCGTGTCTGCCTGATTGCAGACCGATTCAAGCTGGTGCACACGCTTGACAAACAGCCGAGTGGCAGAGCAGCCCCTGCACCATTGGCAATGCCCTTCACAGCTGTGACACTCGTCACTCTGAGATCAGGAGCTGACACGACGTTTGGATAGGCTTTCATCACCGTCTGCATCAGCAGGCAGCGAGCACAGAGATCTCAGGTCATTCCTAGAAAGTGAATTTTAAATAACCAGGCTGAGTTTTTATTGGTTTAAAGTGAGAGACCAAAGGATGATGTTTGGGAACCTGAAAGTCTATTGGACCGTACAAGTGTTTGAAAGAATCATCCAAATCTTTATCTCAGGTCATTGTAATGGGCCTCGGAAGTAAATGTCGGCATGTTCTTTTTTTCTCTTTATTGAGTTAAAAGTTGACTAGCTTAGACTGGCCAAACTAAGTACACTTACTATTGTAACTCATATCTTGGACATTTTGAAGGGAGCTTTAATATTCGTTTGCAACGTTGAAGCATGAATGTAGAATCTTTGGTTCAGGTAAACTGGATCAAGTTGGCATGGTTCTAAAAACAAGAAGCTCAAATTTATTCCAGAACAACTTTCTGTGTCTCCGTGTGTTCTCACAAACAGCAGCTCTGAACAGTCAGTAATGACAAGGTGTCAATACCTCAGTCAACTGCACTTCCTGGTTTGCTAAAAACGTCTTCCTGCCTTCTTGTTTTACAGCGTGCACCTGGTGATATCCAACAGTGCTGATGTGTGTGTGTGTGTGTGTGAGTGTGTGTGAGTGCTGCGGAGACAGCAGTGAACTCCTTGTCTGGAACGTTGCCTCAGGTCCTGCTGTGCTGACAGGACCAGTGCCTTACACTGCTGCTTTGAAACTAACAGAGTTGAAGTTTTAAAAATAAAAATGACAGCATCACACATTTGAAACCTGAGACACGTTCAGCATAAATTATACATGTTGATACATTTCCAGTAACGTAACATTAGTCACCACTCCATTAGATTATGATCATTGGGATCTATGTGAATATTGAAGATAATCTCAGTACCGTGCTTTCCAGCAACCAAGAACAAAATCAGTAATTTGGAGAAGTCAGCTGCACACAGCTCTTTAATTATTTCACTCAGTGAGCAGAAGAATAAATTAACCCAAAAACATTCTAATTCCAGGCTTTGTAAGACAAGCGGTGTGTGTGTGCGTGTGTGTGTGTGCCCCACACCAGACTGTTGTCAGTGTTAAATAAACCAGAGAAACAACAAGGGCTAAACCCGTATTCACCAAAAACAAAAATACTAGACTGAGGCTTGAAGCCACGTCTGGATCAACTGTCAATCACTGCTTGCTGGCCTTGGCGACAGTACACCTAGACGGGTAAATATAGCACAGAGTTCAGCTGCCTTTTTCAAGCACATCCATGTAACAAGTATGAGTAAAAACAATTACAAAAGGTTTAAAAACAAACCACCAACTCGAAGACTTTACATGAAATAATACTGCCACAACAACAGGTTATATTAGAAGATTTGTTGCTAAAAAATGTTTTCAGCAATTCTGGGCTAAGCTGAGCTACACTAATCACACTATTAACTCCTACCCTGCCTCTTATTTTTGGGGTTTTTAAAAGAAGTTACGGTAGGTTTAAAGATACATTACTGTCACCTAGTACTGGGTGTGACGTCACCTTCATTTCAACATTTTCACCAAGAACGATCCCAATTACTTGAAAGATACAGGTTGTAGCCTCCGGGCTAATGAACACAGCACAATATAAAATAGGGAATAACTGAATACTAATGCTGCATGTTGATATATAAGGAATAGTGATTTTTATACTGTATATCCCCCCACACACACACAGAGAGAGAGAGAGAGAGAGAGAGAGAGAGAGAGAGAACCTTAGCTGGGTTTTAACATGTTCCTATCAGTTGCACGAGATTGGGCTTTGCAGCAAATCATTTAGTCTGGCTAAAAGGTTGCCATGGTTACCAAAAGTGGCCCCTCCATTTACAAAAAAAAAGGCTGTGGATGGCAGCAGTGTTGGTACCAAGAAGGTAGGTGTGGGGAGCAGGGATGGCGAGTTGCCAGGGAGACCATTTAGCTCCACACATGTAAGACAAAAAAGGGAGGAGATCACCATGGCTGGAAGACACACGTGCACGTTTTCCATCTAGAATCCAATCTCAGACTGGGCCAATAAAATGTGTCGCTGTTCTTCTGGAGACCAATAAAACAGGACCTGACCTGCACTGGGCTATAAAACACACAACCCCTAACAAATAGACACACACACACATGAAAACTACACAGCAGTAAAAAGGAAAGCCTGATGTCAGCTTTGTAAGGGTTATTGAATTGAACCGAATGCAAGCATTTACCAAAGTGCTACAAGTCTGAAGGAGGAGCCTTTTCTCTCCAACACTGACATTTAATTCAAAGGAAGCTTTTGATATGGTTGAACTACAACCTACATTAACAATAGAACCACAATAAGGTCTGGTGCCCTCACCTTCAGCTCGCACTGAGCCCACAGCTGTTTCTGGTATTGCTAATCTTCGGCCTCAGCTTAGCCTTAGCCCGCTGAATAAGGAGTTCAGAATATTTTAAGGCTGGTTATTAGACAACATTAGAGCATTCCTGAATGGCTCTGAAGAACTGAATTATTCAACAAATGTCTCAGCCCCAAAGTGACACTAAACTGAAAAGTCATGCTTTGCGGACATGACCAAAAAATGTCAGACGCTTCTTTCTCTACTGACATACATTTTTAACTGCCACAAACTCCCCTCAAAGAATACATTCCATTGGTTGTGAAGCGAATATTTGAGGGGTCGGAAAAACTTGAGCCTCTATAGCAAAGGTCCCTGACCCCTGGGCTGTGGGGTGTGTCATTAAGACATTTTTAACCATTACCATTTTCTCCAATCTGCTAAATACAAGATGGTCAACCAAACAAAGTGTATTCTTTCCAATCAAGGAGGATTATTTAGTTGAAGTTTATAGTTTTTTTCTGTGAGCATATTGTTCTGTGTTCAATTGAAGGTCGCTCCCTAAGTCATGTATATACCTGTTTTGTCCTTAGTTTATTTTCCTCTCCTACTTCCTTCTTTTCTATCGTTGTTTATTTATTTGTTCCTTCCTTTCATCCTTTCCTCCAGCCTTGTTTTTCCTCCCTCTCTTCATCCTTCCTTCACTTCCTTTCTATCCTCCTTTCTTCTTTCTTCTTGTATCCCTTCCTTTACTCTGACCACCTTCTCTTCATCCTTCTCTCTTTTTTCCTTCCTTCCATCTATCTTTTAGTATTGCACAGTTATTCTGTTTTCCTTCTCCCTCCTTTCCCTCCTCCACCTGCCTCCGGCCGAGACAAAGTGAACTTGTGAAGATCTTAAGCTCCTGATCTCCTGCTGCTCTACAGTGGTTCAGGTCAGGTGGCCTACGGTGTTTTCATCCTGCCTGGGCTGACAGCAGCTCTACAGCAGAACAATTCAGCTCCACACGCCGTTTATTCTTCTGCACGCACTCCTACTTTCTTGTACCTGGAAAAGTCTGGTCTAATGTTGAAATATAAAAACGTGGCTTTCATTGTTTCCAGGAACAGAACACCACATTCCCTGCTGGCAGTTTAATGCGTGTTACATTCACTGTATGAGAGTGGAAACAATCCAGACTGAGTGAGGGCTGGTTCAGACGCGCACGTTCACCTTATTACACAAATGTTCCAAACATTTGACGCGTCAAGTCTGAGTCAACGCTTGAGTTTCGTAAGCATTATAGAAAAAACATTCCAGTTGGCAGTCAGGCTCTGTGGTCACAAACTACACAGGAAAATAGAGAGAAAACCTTGAATATTAGAGACGAAGTGCTCAGTAAACGTACAAAGGATGAAGAAAGATTAAAATCTCTGTGACTGTAATTCACTTATTACTTCTCTAATGAAATAAATGAGTTTCAATGAACCACAAACCAAAGGCAATTAACTCCTTCCAGGAGTGTTCTGTAATGTTCAGTGTCTTTAACAGAGAGTGATCAGCCCGAGGTCCTGACGTCGTGAACATCTGTTGTAGTAAACAGACCAGTTTTATTGTTTTCCTGTATATTCATTTTTCATTTAAAATTAATGAATGAAAGGAATAAATAAATATCATTAAGATTTAAGAAGCAGGAACAGCACAGCACAGCACAGTCAGTGTTTGCTTTGAATATGAGAAAAACGTTTATCCATGAGGTTTGGATGTTGAAGAATTTAAAGGCTTAAAGTTTTGTTTTCAACATCACTGACATTTGTCCTCAGAAACATCTCAATCCCACTTCTCCAAACTTTTTCTAAACTTTCTTCAATCTGCTCTGCGCTCAGCCGCTCCATCCTGGTCACTGCCAATAAACATCTCAGGATCTTCCTCTCCTCCTCACTCTCCACTGTCTTTAAACCATTTATGATGTCAGATTTGATTCTCAAACAAATATTAACACACACACACACACACTGGCCTCTTACAGCCACCTGAAGCTGCTGTTAAGCCTGTTGCTTATGAAACACACATTTCCCAAGCGCTGCTGCTGACCTCAGATCTCCCACGCGCAGCATTCCCACGAATTACTCACCCCTCCTCCCTCCACCCTCTCTTGCTCATCCTCCTCCCTCCTCCACGCCCTGCTGCCATGAAATTCTTGGCATTTCTGATCAGTGCCCATAACCCTCACCGTAAATAAAGTCATCCATTTCTCTGCACTCACGTTCTTTTTTTTTCCATCCCTCTTTCTTCCCTCCTCCCTCCATCTTCTCGGCGTTGACATCTTAGCTAATGCGTATTGACAGGGCTTTTGCATGCTTTTCATTTTCTGCTGACGCTGTGTTTTTGCCCAGCTTCCTGCTCCTCCGCCCCTCCTCATAAATGGCCTTGGTCTTTCTTTATGGGCTTTGACATATTTCATTAGGCGGATGGTCATAAAAGGCTCTGCTCGGCTTCTTTAATCTGGATAAAAACCCTCTTTCCTCTCTGGCCCCAGCCACTTCCAGGAGAGCTTCAAATCTCCAACCCTCCATCTTTCTCTGTCACTTACTCTAAACCATTCCTCTCTCCACTTTCTGATTTAACTTCTCTCATCTCAGAAGCCTCAATTTTCAATAGAGCTTTTAGCATTTTCCTGGCTATTTTTCTTTGCTTTCATCTTTGCCACCACTTTCCTTCTCCAGGTCGGTCAGAATAATCACATCTGTCTTGATTATTCCGTCTCCAGCTCTCAGTGTGTGTTCTCCCCACCCCACATCTTCACCTTTTACCTTTCCTAGGTTCACATGTTTGGATTCTGTGGACCTGCAGATCTTTCTATCCCCCTCATCTCTCTCTCTCTCTCTCTCTCTGTCTCTCTCCATCCTCTGTTAAGGCCTAGATTAGTTGGATGCTCCAGTTCTAAACTGTCATGAAACAACGTTTCTGAACGAAACGGCTTTATTTAGGAGACCTCCAAAATAACTTTTGAGAATATCCCAGATCAGTCTGGTGTTTAGGACTAGGGATGACGGACAATAAAGAGGGTTCAGACCAAAACAAACTTTGACTGTCAGCCAGAGTTACACTTAAGAAAACTTTTTTAAAAACTTAAGACAAGAAAGGTGACAGAGACTATCAGTATATATTTTGGTTAAAAAAAGAACAGCTATCTGGCCTTAAAATCATCGGCCATGTTTACATAAAGGAAGGGAGACTGATTTAACCCAAAGAACCCTTTCCTCACAGTGAATAGGTGTGAATATGTTTTTCAGTGAATATATTTTAAAATAAAACCTTACGTAGTGAAGACCAGAACTGACTTTGGGTCACTGGTTTCTCTGGCAACAAGGCACAGACTTGAATCAAAGTTGGTGACATACTACCACCAGGTCTGCATAAGGAAACAGATTGGATTACAGACCAATGTCCTGGCCACGGGTCCATAAAATCTGGAAAAGCTTGAGATATAAAAGATGAATGTGAAGAGGCTTGGGTGTGTGAGAACACTGGACTAAACTAAATTACTATGTAAAACATCACTGAAAATCCCTTAGCATAAATAGACCAAAAATATTGTATTTTTACATTTTTGTCGTCAACATTATGTACATGTTAGACATTGATCTAAGCCTGGAAATCTTTGAGATTTGAGAAAGCCATAAAAATCCTGCTTCTATAAGATTAAGGTTATCGGTATAACTTCAATAGTTGGCGATGTATAATCTGGTACTGTTCAAATGCTAACAGACAATACCTAAAATAATCCTAGGGCTAAGTGTGGTTCCATACTGACAGGCAGATGAAATGGTTTACTCTGCACTTTTACCTCATTTAACCAACTCTATTCTACTCCTTCATCTTTCACCCTCCTCCTCCTCAGGTTTATAAATGGCACACGTCCCACTCCGCACACTTGGCTCAAGCCCTCATCCATACTTTTCCACTCGGCCGCGCTGCTGTGATCCAGCAGAGGCCAGCAGTAATTATGAAATGGCCTTTTAGGTCCCGTCCAGCTTTTAAAGCCATTCATCTGGTTTGTGGTTAAATACATAGAGGCTGTACGTCCCTGTTCACTCATACATCTAAACAGCTAAACACAATTACTGCCAGAGCAGCGCCTTCTGATGGAGCCCAGTGCACTAACACACTGACGCAGGAACGGCAGGAATGATGGGACGGCTCTCTAATTGGAGTGGAGCTTTGATTGGCCATAACATGAATTAGATTTGCTTTAACTGGACTTGTGGTTGTCTGAAGTGATTCAGTTTAAAGTCAGGTCTTATTGAATGGTCAGAAATGGCTGTGTTGTAATAAAAACATCACGTCTGAAAAAGGCTAAAACCAATTGGTGTTTGATGCCGTTTTGCTGGTTGTCTCATCATAGACTGCAGGAACACATCAGTCAACATTTTTGAACCATCTACTTTCTAGTTCTTTTAGTCTTGTGTCATCATGGCACGTGGGAAACACAGTTTTAATTCCTCTGTATGTCCAGCACATATTTTAAAATTGACAATAAAATCTATCACTCCAGAGTTTATCTTTTTTAAGAACCTAAACCTAAACATTCACGGACATTTGTTCTGATTTCTTCACAAACGTGGACTTAACATTTTCAGGCATTTTCTGGGTGATTAGTGAAGTGATTCGAACAACAAGCTGCCCACAGTAGCCCAGAGCCACGTGGCCCAAAAATCCATTAAAATCACATCAGTGATGAGTCACACTATTGCCCCACAGGGTAAAGATAATTATTTTCCTCATTACGTGACTTTGAGCACAGTAGTTTATTACCTGCATTGTAGTAAACACTGTGGTAAACTAAAGTGTGTTTTAGAGTTTCTGCCGGAGAAAAGCATTCAATGGAATTCAATACAAAATAATCTTATACGTACATGTGCTGTGAAAACAACAACAAACAACAAATACGTACCTTTCTTCTTCTGTGCGACCAAAGATGCAACGTTGCTCTCGTCCGCCACTGGAACAAATGAAAACATAGGAGATACATCATTAGAAGCAAACATATGTGGAACAGTTTGACTGTTTCGTTGACAGAAGATGAGAAGATCAACCTCAATGACATCAGTATTGGTGTTGACTGCCCTTCATCTCTACAGCAGCATCTATTGCTGCACAAAGTCAGATTCACAAGACTATGTTTTGGTGTATGATCAACCACTAGGGATAGAAATCGAATTCCATGATCAGTATCACTAATCGATTGGATTCACAGATACACACCTGGATGAGTTCAGTGTTACCCGCGATACTTAAGAGAAAGAACATTGTGTACTAAGCTCTGCCCTGGAAGTCATTAGCACCATAACGACGCAGCAGACAGTACACAGAAATTGATAGTAGCATGAGATGAGTGTGATGTCATCAGGCAGATGGGTTCGTAGAATTTGTCAACGGAATCACCAAGAAAGAAAGACAACAATTTAAATGAATCAGACAATCAGGGGTTGGTTCTTGACTTGACAGTCAGATGATCATTGTTCCAATTGAAAAAAAAGCATTAGCTGTTCAGAAGAAATGAGTGAGGAGCAGCCCTACAGCTAGCACAAAGAGGTGGTACCCTGCTTCTATAACACTAAGGTTATCTGTAAACCTTCAGTAGTTGATTATACATCTGCTAACAGTGTTTGCTATCAATTTGTGAAGCTCTAGTTCATATGCTAACAGACAATACCTAAAATAATATAAAAGAGTTCTCAGTCTACCACAAATACACGGAGCAGACTGTTGGTGTAGGAGATTACAGACACATCTTGAACACTTCCCTTTCTAATCAACAGATTTTGGACCGTGTCTTCAGCTGAGATTACTTATTGGATTCAGATGAGACAGGATTGGATGGACCAGTCATCAAATGGTTGGAAAAGTCTGGCCAGATGTGGCCTGAATGGATAAAACAGCCAAAGAGCAACTGAACCAGGCACAAAAACATGGTGCTCAGGACTGATGAGTCTCATTTTTAAACATTTCAGTTTCTGCAGAAGACACTTTGTGTTTTGAAGGACTGGGGACAGGTCCAACACTGAGTGTCTGCAGCCAACAGTGGAGAGTCCACTGTAGCCTGTAGGCTGCTGTGACATCATTAAAAAGACTGAAGGACTTTCAATTAGAAAAAAGACAGACAAATTGAGACAGGGAGAGAGAAGGAAAGGCAGAGGAGGAACAAAAAAACAAACAGTCTGAGATTGTGTGAATGGAAATATGATAAACAATACATAATGAACAAAGACAGAAACAATAAAGAAAGGAGACAGAAAAACCACAGTAACTGAATTGGACTTCAGGTGGGGTCAGCCGCGGCAGCAGCAGCTATCACCACAAGCAGTGCAACATGGGATACAATAATAGGGTTTTATTGCCCGGCTATTTCTCTTAAATAATCCTTTTCATTTTTTATGAGGTCTATTTTTCCCAGCAGGCAGAGAAGATGTAAGAGAGAGAAAATGAGAAGGAGCGAGATTACTGAAGGGGTTGAATAAAGAAAGAAATTAATGGAGACGTGGAAGTGACAGACGTGGGGTCACGTAGGTGTGTGTATGTGTGTGTGTGTGTGTGTGTGTGTGTGTGTTCCAAAAAGAACGAGGCTACATCGAATATAGGTAAAATAAAAACAATAATAAAATTGAACTTTTTCTGTGCCATAAGGAACAAACTGGAGGAAGACGTCTCAGAGGACATATTTACGATGCATTTGGACTCTTAAAGGACAAAGGCAGAGAATAAGAAAATGTTTAAAGACAAAAAATAAGTGTAAAGGTGCGATATAAAGAGAAAAGGAAAAACCAAGGCAGGAATCACTGGGGAAAACAAAGAGAAGGAACGGTGAAAAAGGAGGAGAGAGAATAAAAAAATACCCAGGGAAGGTCAGGGAGATAACGACGTAGAGACGACTCTGGGAGGTAAAATGGTTCAATCACCTCTTAGCAGGCTCCTCATCAAGCCCTGACCTGACAGGTGTGAACATCTAAAAGTTGAACACTGTCTGACTCACAGTGAGCAGCACTTTCCCAGAACACCTCTACAACTGTAGAGTTTCCGTTGATGCTGCGCCCGAGCACCAGCTCTCCTCCTCCTCCAGTCCATTTCTTCTTCGCTTTATTTTGCATGGTGCTCACGCCCAGACGTCACAAAGTCTCGATCCTCATAAATACAATTACAGTCAGTGAGGAATGTGAAAAACGGGGTGCGAGTGGATGACTCAACTGCAGTGGCATTTTCCTTTAAATTCATCTTCACACCATACAGCTGCAGAATGTGCCGCTTGGGCTAAAAGGTTTGACGTTTCAATTGACTTGAAGCAGCTCAAAGCCAGCCCATACAGAGCATTTTCCATGTCAGCCTGCAGCTTTCTAGTTTGATAAAAGCATTAGTTTCCATCACAGCTCATTCCACTTCCTGAATCACAGTCACATTTGCTGCTAAATCGTATTCATTACACTTGTTTTCACAACTGTTCATGGCTTCAAAACTGTGCGAACGGTAGGGAAATGGAAATGCAGCTCTTTCAGGTGTTAAAAGCGAGGAATTCTCTCCTCAGTGTAGAAAGGAATCGACGGCACTCCAGTCAAAAGGCAGACGTTTGTACGTGAAGAGTGTCGGTGACTTTGCCATTCATCCCGGCGTGGGCAGACGGTGTGTTTGAGGTTGAGGATTTCTGTCAGTAAAAAGCTCTGAGTAAACACAGCATATTTGCTGAGGCGTTCAAGGTCAATAAGAGCTGCTCTGTCAAGTGGTGTTAATAAAAAAAAAAGGAGAAAAAAAAAGCTAACCTGCGCCGCTTTACAGAGAAAGCTAGCAGTGAAGCAGAGCAGGCTCCTGGAGCCGACGTGTCAGAAAGAAGAGGAAAAAACGCAACACTCCGACAGAGATTCTAGCAAAAGCCCAGTAGGGGGGGGGGGGGGGGGGGCGAACTGGGAGTATCTGGGGGTGTGTGTCAGGTCAGGACAGAGTGTGGTCGCACTACTGCAGTACTGAAGAGAGAAAGTACTACAATGGAAAGTTCAACTAACAGTGATGGAGGTGAAGTGTGTGTAAGGTCCTGCGTTTTCCCTAGGACGGCGACGGCATCACTGCTTCCGCTCAGCAACTACAGGGCTCATTGATTTACTGTGGATTTTGAACTGAACTGAGGGTTAGAAAATGATGCACTAGCAGCGAGTTTAGGATCCTCCTCTACAGGCGTCTGTTTAAATTAGTCAAAAACAACACCAACACTAACTGGACAACAAAGGCTTGACTTTCAGGGTTTTTTTTCTAACTTTATGTTTTTTTGATTGTTTTGTTTTCAACAACCTCGTTCCCCATACAACCATTAAAACCACAGTTTTCAGGAGTTGATCCACGACTGTCTCCGTATATGTTGTGTTAACCAGGTTTTGCTCTTCTCAACATTCTGAACAGACTGTGATGGAGCAAAGACAGAGAAGGAGATGAAGGAGACAGATGGGGCAGACACGAAGAGGTTGTTTTTAGCAGTGGACCCTGTTTGTGTGTGTTTGAAGACCACCCCTGTCCAAAATGAAAGCCCATCAGCCTGGGTGGCAGTGTCGCGTCTGCAGAAGGAAAGCCTATCCACTAAAGCCTAATGAAACGGGATTAGAAATCATAGAAGCCCAGAAGAAGAAGTAGAAGGAGCGGAGAAGTAAACCGAGGTGGAGTAAACACCTGGGGGAGAAACAGTGCTGATCGTGTGGAGAAGAAAGGAGAAATGAGCAGGAAAATTGAAGTATCAAAGTGGAGACACTGAGACGTGGAGCTGAGAGAGAAGATGAAATGAAGAGAGGGAAGAAGGAGAGGTCAGCAGGGTCAGCAGGAGGAAATGAGCTTCATCACTTCCAATATTAACACACACACACACACACACACACACACACACACACACACACACACACACACACACACACAGACCTAAACCTTTTATTTATACACAAATAGACTGGTCACACCCACAGTGAGACATGTGACACACAAACATACACAAACACACACACACACTACAGACACGTTCATCTAGTCTACAGGAAAGCCCCTGGGTTTAAGGAGGTCATGAGTTCAAATCCCCTCAGACAGGGGGATAATAGGTGACGGCTAAATATGAGAAGTGAGGAATGCACTGATAGGATATTATGTACGATCCTCTCTCTCTCTCTCTCTCTCACTCTCTCTCTAGGTGTGTGTGTGTCTGTTTGACCTTGGTGTTACTACGTGGTGTATTTGTGGGGACATTGGCTCTGGAACAATACTACTGCTGTGGGGACATTTTGCAGTTCTCCACTGACTGAGACAGATGTCTGAGGTTCAAGATTTGGTTCAATGTTAGGATTAGTATCAGATTAGAGTGAGGGATTAGGAATTAGGATTTAGGTTCATATCTGTCTTATTTATCAACAGTGTAGGGCAACACAGAATAAATGACTATGTTGAATGGGGGCAAATTATATAAAGCAGTATTCGTGTGTGTGTGTGTGTGTGTGTGTGTGCGCTCTCACCCATATCCATGCTTTTGGATTCTCTGCTGCGAGGATGGTTGTCCATGTTGTTGATCAGCTGGTGTTGAGGCATCTGAGAATCACTGCAAAAAAATCAAAGTGGATCAGGGTTCAATTGTCCAAAGAAAGGGTTAAAGCTTTTAGATCCTTGTACATTTATTCTTTTCAAATTCACTTTTGAATTGTTAGTTGTTCAGCTCTTTTGGCTACAGTCCACTCCAGGCTTCTGTATTGAATTTTTAATGAAGAAGCCCCAGAATGACACAACTCCTCCATAGAGAGAATCGTTTATCAGAGTTTCCAAAGACTTTGGTTTGGATAAAAACTGATTTCCTACGTGAACTCCAGCAACAAACAACAGGGATACAAACTGGGTTTATAAAAGTTTTGAATTGACGTTCAATTACACATTCATGTCAGATGCTTTTTTTCTGATGACAACAGCGCCCACTATAAGGATGTGTGTTATCATTTCTTCATCAGAAAACAGTCTGACATGAGCAAAAGATAAATTATCTCCAGAAATCAGGGCTGTGAAAAGCAAAAAAAAAAAAAAAACTGAATAAACCAACAATGTGGATATTGTGTTGTGTTGAAACCAAACACACAAGTCAGGGAAAAATAAATTTAACTCCTCACACATACGCACGTACACACACATGTGCACGCACATACACATACACAAACAGGAACCCAGGTTGAAGAACAGACGATTGGATTTCCTCACTTCCAGATGGTGTGACTCACTAGAACAATAGCATCTACTGTCGTCACTGAAGAAAACGGAGAAACAGTCAAACTTTGTCCACAGAGGGATAAACAACAAACACACTCTCCAACAAACTGCTGTGAAAACTAGAAATAATAACAAACAGTAGTTCTTGGAATATGACCAGTTTTCCAGCACAAGCACTAATCTATTATCAGTTTCTTTTTTTAACCTTTTGACTAGTTTTATCTAGTTTTTCTTTTGTTTTGTTTTGTTTTTTTGGCTAACTTTAAAGCTCATTTTTTAAAGCTGCTTTAAAGCCTTTATTTCTTATTTTTGCCTTATAATTGAATGAACCTTAGTGTGAAATTCATTTGTGTTATGGAAAATGTTGTTTTAATGATTTTCTAGTTAGCTTTATTTTTTAATAGTTCTTACTTTTTGGTAAATATTATATTGTTTGGTTTATTTAATAATTCATTTCAGTTATAATAATATTCCCTACTTTAAAATTGGTTCTTTTACAGGCTAATCTTTAGCTTGTAGGTTTTTAAATTTCCTTGGTTTGGTATGGTATTTCTCCAAGCTAACTTTGTTTGATAGCTATGTTAGCTAAACGCTTCCCTAAAATTTAGATTTTTCTTTTTTCTGACGCTAACAGAATTTTAGTTTTTTTATCTATTTACAGACTATCTGTATTATAATATATACATCATATTATATATGTTATAATATTACTTTGTAATATATATTATATATTAAAACAATTCATATATGGGCTTTGAAAATTATCTATTGTAATATAGTATATATTATAAACTGTTTTTGATGTTATTTACAAAACAATTATATATTATATAACACAATATATATATTATGGAGTTCAATAATAACAATTGTCATCTTCATCATCATCATCATCTCTTGACACTTTAATGTCCAATGTTTATCCAGACCTAGCCGGCTTTATTTCGGTACTTTTTTTCCTTTATTAAAATAAAAACCACAACAGTTTGATTCATGTTTAAACATTCCTTGAATAAAAAATGAAAATATGTGAAAAACTAATTTCAAATCAGTGTGTTTGCTCCTCTTTGTTGAAACACTGACTCCAGCCTCACAATCACCACCATTTCTTATGCATAATGCAAACAGGCCACTGCAATTAGGGCTGCTTTTGTTTAAATAATGCATGTGTGTGTTGTAATTTAGTCTAATGACTCGTATTTATCTGCTCACACCGGCAGCCGAATGAAGAGAGAGCCATTAGAACATAATAACTTTGCTCCCGAGCAGTGGAGTTTAATAAAGTGCTGATGGAGCCGCAGTCTCCTGCACACTCTCTCCGTGGGTATTATGGGATGGCGGTGTGGAGGTTACTGTGTTGTATGTACCTGTGCTGAGAAAGCTTCAGTCGCAGGTTTCGGTTTATTTGCTCCATGGTGCGTGGAGAAGGAGGACGTGGGAAATCCAGCTCCTCGTCCTCGTTGTAGTGCTGAGAGTAGCTGCCGTTGGTGGTGGCAGTTGGATGTGGAGCTGAGGGCAGAACGCAAGACAGAGGCACAAGGAATGAATGTTTAGTTTTGGGATCATTCTTACTTTTCATTTTCAGTTTAGTTTTGTAGTTCCTTTTAAAGTCAGAAGTTGGACATTTTGATTTAAAAAATGGCAAATAGACAGATAGATAGATGGATGGATGGATGGATGGACTGATGTGACTTAGCTTTGTCCACTTTTGTTAGACCAACATTACTCTCATAAGATAAGAGTTCAAACAAGGTAATAATAAAAAAAACATTTAAAAAAAAAATATTTTTTCCCAGCATGCCTCTAACTCTCGACTTAGCTTTGTCCACTTTTGTTAGACCAACATTACTCTCATAAGATAAGAGTTCAAACAAGGTAATAATAAAAAAAACATTAAAAAAAAAAAAATTTTTTCCCAGCATGCCTCTAACTCTCTCTTGATTCCTGAATCAATCCAGTGTAATCCTCATGAGCACAACATGTTTCTCCTTTATGTTTGAAACAACCACCAAGCTTTGAAAAAAAATACAAATCCATGGAGAAAAAAAGCATTTCCATCACTTTCTGCATCCCAGGGGGTGGGAGGAGGGGTGAGGGATAAGGAGGAGGCGGGGGAGGAGGGGGAGGAGAAGAAAGAGGAAAAAATGGAGCATGAATAGAGAGATAAATAGAAGAGAATGATTTTAAAACAGCTTGATGGTCTCTCTTTTATTTTTCCCCTCTCCTTTTACACAACAACGCGCTCGCTGCTACGCTAATGTGCTGCCGTTTCATCAGCGTAATGACTCCAAGGTCAGATCTTCAGCACGCGAAGAGCGAGGAGCCTCGTATGCAGGAAGAAAGAAAGTGGAGAAAAACATACTTAATGACTTTCCTTTTTCTGTCCGTGAATAGACAGTGAATGGAGATAATAAAGACGATGTGATCATTTACTGACAGCCACAGACACTTCCTCAGAGCTCAGATAAATACTCTCACTGTTTGTCATCGAAGAACAACAGTAAACCTGGGCGCACCCTGGTGGAGGAGCTGATTTAAATCTCTGATCAGATCAAAAATGTAATTCTTCATTTTTCATGTAAGCAGTACTGAGCAGAACCTTTACACAGGTTTAAAGATCAACTCTGCACCAGTGGTTTCCAACCTCTTCTGGCCTGTGATCCTGACATCAAACATTTCTGATGATTTCTGATACACAACACTAAACAAGGGAAAAATGTGAATGGAATCACAATCTTAAACTTTAACTCTGCTTCTAACATGAGGTAGTGAAAGATATATTAGTACAGTAACAGGTTCTCTCTGGTTTTTCTAAAAGACTGGAGTTTCTTGAAGTGCGGAGGTCTGCACACTCCAGTCCGCCATTCAAAGTCATTCATCATTTTGCCAGTTAATTATTTTTGTAGCAATCACTGGTTTACACCTCCAACGGCCTATCAAATCTTTACATACAGAACCAAACAAACATTCACACTGACCTGAAACATTGATTTCTACGACTTGTTTTGTCTTGAATATTCCCAGGTGTCAGTGATAAACCTGGCTACTGTATAAATCAGAACATATCCACCACCACACATAAACATTGGTCAGGATACCACAAACACACACACACACACACACACTGTGAGTACTCAGCCAGTCACTCAGCAGCAGAGTTCACACAAACAAACGTGGACAAACAGTGTCTCACAACAATTATCGGAGTCAGGATTGTCCTCACCGTGTCTCGGCTCTCTGTTCTGTGAGTAGTTATCGTTTGGAGCTGGAATGCGACCTGTGGCGTTCCTGCCTGTCTCCGTCTCCGATGCTCTGGAGGGTCCTGCAGAATTAAGCCTAGGGTCCTGTCGAAAAAAGACAATGAGGAATGAAAAATAAAGAGAGGAAGAGGGAAAGAAACGTTGCTATTCAACTACATACTGACTTCTGATTCTGCAACAATCAGGACACTTAAAACTGAGTTCCAGAAAACTTTGACCTGCTAAAACTATTAAAATTACCAAAATGTTAAAGTTATTAATCCGAAAACTGTTTATATTGATTCTCACAATATGCTTGAGATTATTTGTGGGGGTTTTTTTACCTTCTCTTGGCATTTAAATGCACATCAACCGTGCAGGAAATCAGTGGCACAGAGCAGCAAATAACCTGGAGCTAAATTTAATAGCAAATCTCCTGCACATCCCACAGAACACGAACAAGTAATTCAATTATAAAGACATGGGGGGAAAATAAGTCTTCTCAACAGTGATCAGTGATGAGTTGTGTCATTTTTATAATTCAAAGAGGAAAAGAGAAACAAACAAACAACAATAAAGCAGAGAGGTTGGATTGTTTGGCTCTCTTCGTGAGACACCAAGGTAGTGTCTCAGTAATGATACCCAGACTTTACCATTTTACATTTGCGTACAAAATGTACAGATATTTGACTGTTTTTTCAGGGACAGAGCAGCACACAGCAGCTCATTACATCTGATGATGTTGTTCGACTGGACACAGTGGAGCAGTGGTCTGAGGAGCAGATTTTTCATACTCAATATATTATTACACAATAATTAGAACCACCTACAGTAAAAGTTTGAATTCTTACAACAAAAATAGATGAAAATGTCTTCATTCTTCTTCATTCTTCATCAACAACATGTAACTGGGGGGAAATGACACCTCTCTGTTTGTGCATACATGTGAAAAGACGCTAATTAGAGACTCACTGACAGGCATGTGATCGAACAGCCGTCCACCACTACAAAGCCGCCTGCCCCCCCGACACCCGCTCCTCATCTTCATCCCCCACCTCACCACAGATGGTGATGGAGACCGACAGTGACGGTGGAGGATAAAAGATGACTTTCTAACTGTTCAAAAAAGGTGGAGCTACAGCTGTCACACACAGACACACACAGGCACACACAGGCACACACAGGCACACACAGGCACACACAGACACACACAGGCACACACAGGCACACACAGACACACACAGGCACACACAGGCACACACAGGCACACACAGGCACACACAGGCACACACAGGCACACACAGACACACACAGGCACACACAGACACACACAGGCACACACAGACACACACAGGCACACACAGGCACACACAGACACACACAGGCACACACAGGCACACACAGACACACACAGGCACACACAGACACACACAGGCACACACAGGCACACACAGACACACACAGGCACACACAGGCACACACAGGCACACACAGACACACACAGACTGCTATTGTTGTGCTGCTGTTCCCGTTGAACCTCTACAGCCTAACTACTAGCTAGCCTTCCATGTCCAGTACGCAAATACGTCCTTAAATAAATCACAGAATTGAGTAATTTATTTAACTGGGAGGTAAATGTATTGTTCTTATCTGCAGTGACTCCCTCTACTGTCTCTTTTTTTCCCTTGTCTTGGACGTGATCAGGTCGTTGAGAAAATTGTTAAAAAAGTGACTACAATAAAATATTAACCTGAATTTTAACGTAAAGATTTTGTGAGGTAATAATTGAGAGGAAACATTTTCAGATTTCTGGTTGGCTTTTGAAACAGCACCAATTGCAAACGTGTACAGAACCACCAGCTATTTGGAACAGCGGCCACAGAGCACAACAGTGCTGAAAACATGGCAGTGTAATCCTGGTCTGTCCAGATGAAGTAAATGAATGTCTAACACTCAGGGGATGGTGACTTATCTCCTAAAATCTAAGGATTAGGATTTTACTTCTCAATAAAAACAAATGCAGTAGCACAATGTTTAAGTCCTGAACTGATACTGCTGAGAGAAGGAATTAAACAGTACTGAATGGAACAGAATAGTAAATATCTTTAACCTACTCCTCAAAGCTAACACAACACAACACAAAAAAGGCACTGGATAAGAAACAAAGAAAGATATTTACATGCATGACGGCAAAAAGGAGGGACGGTAGCTTTGTCACTTCAAAGCATTAAGGTTGGCTGGATTCTCAGTGTCCCTGGAGCATCATTACTGCAACCACACGTCTTCATGTGTCACAGCATTAATGCTGTCAATCACTTTGAGCTTCTGCTTTTTTTCCGAGAGAATAAATCATATGACTATTTACAGGTGAAATCACAAAGTGTAATTTTTATGGATTTTCTATGGATAATTATCACAAACTATCTAAAACTGTATCGATTTAGTCGGTCACTAAAATTTAGCAGCTTTTTAAAAAAAAAAAAACAGCTGCACCATTTAAAGACACACTCATTGGTAAAGTGTGATTTAGATTCAGTTTGGATTTACATTTGTTGACAGCAGGTCATAAATAAGGACGATCAATCAGTGACTCGAGAAAGGCACGTGGGGCAGCTCTGGAATGGTTTAGGGCTGCATTTTAACTATCAGTGTTGGTCAAAAAGCTTCACTACAGACAGACTATGATGTGTTCCTCCCAACATTGGGAATATCCTTCGGAAATATATCAATGATATTACTTTGAGACAAGAAAATGCAAAATAAATAACAGATATTGTCTGGACCTGACATTTTTCTTCTGGGCCAGAGATAAAAATACTCAGTAGACCACATTATTCGTTCTATGATTAGTCTTTTCAGTAAAACATTTTCACACAAAAAATCTGCATATATTTAGTGTATTAAATTGGATGGTCAGTGCTGCTGTCCATCCGTCCTTTCATCCATCCGTCTACACACACTGACAGGTTGCCTCAGGCGTCAATTGCAGCCCAACAGACGAGGAGTCTGATATCCTAATCCCACAACAATACGTTAACCACAGAGCAGTGATGGAGGCAGGGGGTCCATCAACCCAACATCCAACCAACAGCTGCATACAATAGAGTGCTGAGAGGCTTAGCTCCACTTCATCCTGAACATGTCACTGTCACATCACACGTCACTGAAAGAAAACCGCAACATCCCGGATGATTTTATTTTTATAAATAATTTTCTTCAGGTCTATTTCAGACGTATATCTGTCTTTTATCGACATCTCCTTTGTAGCTCATCTGCCTGTTAGGTCCTTTAAACTGACTGGAGGGTGGAGAGTGAGTAAAGAATGAAGGAATAAATTAAAGACAGGACGGAAAAAGACAAAAAAGACAATCAGGCCAAACATGATTTAATAAAGAGAGAGGAAAAGTCAAGGCTGGAGAAGACAGCTACTGAAACAGAGACAGAGACATGCAGGAGAGTTTAGACTAGAACTTTATTTAACACAGGAAATACAGTAGGAAAAAAAGAGAACAATTCCTTTAAATATATAGAAAAGATAAAGAAGTCAGTGTTAATATCAAACATTACAAAGGTGGAAACAACAGGAAAGAGCACATATACCCGGGTCTGTGTGTAGGTAGGAAAAATAAAGTGTGAAGATGTAGTTTTTTTTATTCTTAGTGATGAGCTGTAGAGAGTCAGAGCGAATGAGACAGAAAGAAAATTGTACAACATTCACTAAAGCACTGAACTTCAGGATGAGATTTAGAAAAAAGGTAAAGTTCAAGTTGTGACAGATAATGAAACAAGAGAGTTTTAATGTTCAGTCACAGTAATCGCCTTCCACTTCATCAGTAAAAACAAAACTGCATCTGAAACTTACAGGAAGATTTTACCTCTGCCCTGCACACAGTTTTACTTTTACTTTTGTGCCATTAATAGCAGCCATGCTACTTCAGGCGGCCCCCAAGGCTCAATGCCTGGCCCAATTTTTATTTAGTTGTACATGCGTCTTTTGGAACAATTTAAAATAGGTAAATTAATACTGTTGACGATGTAGAAAAAACAACGAGACTAAATCAAATAAAAATGGATATCCTGCGAGCTCCTCTAGCTAAACTGAATTTCAATATTGAGTTTGTTTCATTTGTTTCACTCCAAGAACTTTGTTAAAACCAAAAATTACAATATATTCCCATAATATTTTCTATGTAATTTTTAATTACACAGTAATATTTCAGATGTATTTACCTGAGTGGATTTTCAAAGCCTCTCAAGCCCATTGTAGCCTTTCCTCCCTGCCTCCAACTTCATGTTATTTCTGGGATTTAAATTGTTGTTTTCACCCAATCGCCTAAGCTCTGAAACTCTCCATTCCAGGCCATGGTTTGCCATGTTATGTGGCAACCTTTAAATGTCTGCTGGAAAACCAAAGCCTTAAACCAAGTCATTTTGAGGCTTCATTCCATTCGGTGAACCTTAATACACGGCACATGAAGACAAACTGACCAGGTCAAAATCCACCTGAGAGTCGAAGGTGGTGTTGTCTGCTAAACCCTCTGTTTGCATAGTCATAGTTGTGTGCAGAGGTGTGTGTGCTCAGACTGTGTGTAGGTGTTCTGCTATGCCGTGGCAGAGGGTCTCCGTACATCTGCCCAGCGTGTGCCCTGATGTCTTCAGTGTAACTGCGGCTCCGGCTGTGGATGGCATCCAGCGTGTGGCTGCGTGTGTGAAATGGCAACCCGTAGTGTGAATAATTCCATTCCCTGCTCTGATTTCTATAGGAGTCAAACCCACAGTCGTACCTCAGACCAGGCCTGTACGCGTCACCATCACCAGGCTGCTCGTCCCTCTGCATGTAAACATGTATCCACTGACCCCCTCCTTGTGCTGGAAACCCTTTCGTGTGTGGTGTGTGTTTCCGGTTTCTAGCTATGATTGTGCTTGAGCTGTTGGGACACTCGCCTCCTCGCTACAAGGAGGAGAGAGGAGGAGCGGTGGGGTGGAGTTGGCTGCTGCTGCTGCTGCTGCTGTGGTTGGTGTTGGTGGCAGTTGTCACCCATTCGTACCTGATTGCTGGAACCTGCATGAGGATTGTGTTGGTGAGCGGAGGAGACTTCTGTGGTCTTGCCTGGTTCAAAACCACTCTTCTGTTAAAAAAAAAAAAAAGATATAAAAGAAGTTGAGTTAAATTTAAGGATGAATCTAAACATTCTCTGGCAGCATTTAGCACACCAACTCTGCTGCACTTACTGAGAAACAGGGAAACAAATGGTGCTTAACATTTTAAAAAAGTGCTTTCTTGGCACAGAAAATATTAACCTGGTTTAATAATGCAGAGTAACATTTACCCATAAAGTTTCTTTCATTTCCTATAAAATGATCACTCCATTAGAGAGAAGTGATTCTAATGAGAAGGGTTAATGTCATTGATCTAACTGTCAAAACTGCAGAAGCTGCTCATGAATAATGTCGGCTCACATCAGGGCTCCTTATGGCCGTGCTTCCTCAAGTCAAGTTAATTCAAGGAAAATCTGAATGTGTAACATTTTTCAAGTAAAAAATACCATGGAAAAATCTTTCCAATTGAACTCTGACTTGATATGAAATTCATCTACATACTTTAGTAAAACTGATGTTGCCTTCAAAACTTTAGTTTATCATAAATAATATACAGTAATTTATTCATCAGAATACAGTTTTTACCCTCAAGCAAATTATTTCACATTTTTATATACATTTTTGATCCGTATCCTCAGTATTTTTGCCCATCTATGTAGTAGAATATGTGGTGTTAGATTATTAAATAACATCAAAGGTGTAGTGTAGTGTGTTCACTGTGGGCTTGGTTGGGATCATGGTGGTCCAATATGGTAAAATCCCCCTCTCTACAGATATAAATTTAAAAAAAAAACCTTTTGAAAAGTACTGCCCCCCCATTTGCCCCAGTGGTACCTGTCTGGGAGCACGGAGCACCACCAGCTGAATGGTTCCTCTGGCATTGCCCTCAGAGGACATGGAACGTCTCAGTGTCTCCATGGCAGTGTGGTTGGAATGTCCCAGCAGCGATTCACCATTTACAGCAACCAGCTGGTCGTTGACGGTCAAACGTCCGTCCTTCAGCACAGGAACAAAAATAAGAACAGGTCGATTTTAAAGCATTTGTTGTTTGGATATCTACACCTTAATGAAGAAATCTAACTGAAAGTGACTCCTCTGCCATCGTACAGTTCATTTTGCCAGCTGATCAAAACCACCGCCCACTAGTGCCTCGCTGATTTTCTCAGTCTACTTCATTTTTTCTTTAAACTCCCTGTTTATCAAACTAATACTATAGATTTTCAGCTTACGTGTCATATTTTATTTCAAGGCAGACCGGCAGTTAGATTCAAGTCTGACATATTTGTGTGTGTCATTACCAACAAAGGCTTTCAGAGGAAAACCTTAAAGAAAGACATTAGGACGAAAATAACACAGTTGATGAGAAAAGTGGTGGAGTGTGTGTGTGTGTGAGCGAGCGAGTGTGAGAGAAGGCGTAAAGGCGAATGACAGAGTGAGAGCGAATGTAGAGTAGAAAATGGAAAAAGGGAGAAGGCATAATAAAAAAAATTGTGGAGTTAGCAATCTAGAGAGAGTGGGAGAGCGGTGATAAATACGTAGAGCAGCTAATGGAAAAGCCTCTGTGGGCACTAAATCACTTCTAAGTGTTTTAAATAGCAGCCTGTGGTACAGAGGAGCAAGACACCAGTGAGTGAGTGTGTGAGACGGAGAGAGAGGGGATGTCAATTTGAGACACAAAGACTCTCTCGGTGTCTCTTTGTGTGTGTGTGTGTGTGTTCACTATAGCCACTGCTGCCCTTTGACTCCATCTTATTAACAAGAGACCAACTGGCCTGGTCCTCAAAGGCTTTTTTAAGCCTGGTTCTCTTTATGGAATTCTCTGTTTGGGAAATGTATTTTATTGGGGAAAAAGTTTGTAAAATAATGTACAATAATTTTCGCTTTAAAACTTAAGATTAAGATTTTGCCCAACTCATGTAAACCTAGAGGTTTTGCTTTACTGTAGGCCTAGACTGCTGATGGGAACTCCCATGGTGCACTGAGCCCTCTCCATTCATGAATAAAAAGCAATCTGTGACAGCAGCAGTTAAAACTGCACAGACATTTACACCTGTGCACACACATAATCTCTTCACTAAATGTTGAACCTCAAAATACCCCCGTCTCGTTTCAAGTGATTTTTTTTTCTCTTTCAAAAAGCTGTCCTCACAAGTACAGCTATACCAGGAATACACACACATCCCAGTGTCAGCATCATATCTGAAGCACATACATCTATCATATCCACAGAAGCATCCACAGTCTTCATGTTAGTGGCCACAGCACATGTCAATTTAATACTGTTTCTTGCACAGGCTCTTAGAAGTGATCAGGGACCAAGTTAAAGGAGCTCTTATTTTATTTATGTATATAAAATTGAAGCCTCGGGCGCTGAGAGGAAGCAGCCCGAAAAACTCTTTAATGAAAATGGGTCACATTTTTTGACTGCTCCTCAGGAGACGCCCCGGTTTCCTCCTCTGTAGCGTTCTAATGCTACAAACTCTCATCAGGCCTCTTTAGCTGCTTTTCATTAGCATACATTGCCACACAGACGGAAAGAGAGAGAGACAACCCAAACGTACAGCAT